TTTGCTCATGTATTTTTTGGGCCTACAATGCCCTTTCCTAGCGTGTGTGCCTCACATTGTACTTGGAACTCAGCCGCTTAAGGCTTTTTCTAAATTATACTTGTGATTCTGTTTTTGATGCTTTCCTTATGGATGAATAAGTTGATTGCTTGTTTGTTCATAGATGCATTAGGAGTTGAACCGCATGCTTGTGTTATTATTTTGGTGCGGCCGAGTGGCTGAGTTTTGTGGACTCTTTATTGGGTTATGTCGATGACTTGTCGATTTTGAGGTGCAAGAACCCTTCAATCGGTCTAGGCCGACTGAATGTGTAGCTTTATGAATCAGGCAAGGCCGATCAAAGGTGTGAAAACTTATGAATCGGGCAGAGCCGATTGAAGGTGCAAACTCGTGAATCAAGCAAGGTCGATTCGAAGGTGTAAATTCGTGAATCGGGCAGGGCTGATTCGAATGTGTAAACTCATGAATCAGGTAGGGCCGATTCGAAGGTGTAAATTCATGAATTAGGCAGGGCCGATTCCAAGGTATAAATTCATGAATCGGGCAGGGTCAATTCCAAGGTGTAAACTCGTGAATCAGATAGGGCTGATCAAAAGTGTAAACTCGTGAATCGGGCAAGGTTGATTCGAAGGTGTAAACTCATGAATCGAGTAAGGCCGATTTGAAGGTGTAAACTCGTGGATCGGGAAGGGCCGATTGAAGGTATAAAAACTCATGAATCAGGTAGGGTCGACCGAAGGTGTAAATTACTGAATAATACTTCATTGAATTTGGGCCATGAGGCCGACTGTCTATGAAGGAGGTGGATAGGCCCACTCATCCCTTTTTTTAAATAAAAACAAAAAGAAAACAAACATGTAGACGAATGAGTTCACCTAAAAGTAGTAGCATTTGAGGTGGATTGCATTCCAACTATTGCTGATGTCTTTACCTTCGGGAGTTTGGAGTCAGTAGGTGCCCTTCCATACTTCTTTGGTGATTTTGTAAGGACCCTCCCAGGTAGGGTCGAGCTTGCCCGAGTTGATCTTGCTAGTGTTTTGAAAGACCTTGCAGAGGACCCAGTCGCCTGTTTTGAAAGTTCTAATCCTGATGTTGCGGTTATAGTGTTGGGCGGCCTGTAGTTGATAGGCTGCATTGCAAATGTTCGTCTGTTTGCGTAGCTCGTGGACGGTGTCTAGGTTCTAGCAAAGGTTCTAGTTGTTGATTTCTTTGTCTGGCCGAAGGAACCGATACTTCGGCTGGAATGACTGCCTCAGATCCATTTGCGAGGGAGAAAGGAGTTTTGCCTGTTGATGAGCGGGTTGTAGTTCGGTAAGACCAAATGACTCTAGGTAGTTCATCTGCCCATGCACCCTTGGCTTTCTACAAACGCTTTTTGAAAGCCTGCATGATGGTTTCATTTGATGATTCGGCCTGGCCATTGGACTGGGGGTTGCAGGGGGTAGAGAAGTTTAGCTTAATCCCCCATATGTTGCAGAAATCCCTGAAGCCTGAACTGATAAATTAGGATCCATTGTCGGTGATGATTTCCTTCGGTATCCCAAACCTGCTTTCCAGATGAAAGCTTTTACCTCTCAGACTTTGACTTGTGCGAATGCTTCGGCTTCGATCCACTTGGTAAAGTAATCAGTCACAGCCAACATGAAGACTCGTTGCCCAGGCGTGGTCGGGAGCTTTCCCACTATATCCATTCCCCAGTTCATGAATGGCCAAGGTGTGAGAGTGGAGTGAAGTCGCTCGGGTGGGAGGTGTGAGACATGTGCGAACCTCTAACAGCTATCACATCTTTTCATATAAGCTGATGAATCAGTGCATATGATTGGCCAATAGTATTCAGTGATGATCACTCGGTGTGCGAGGCTGCGTCCTCCTGCATGGTTTCCACATTCGCCTTTATGGAGTTCGGCAAGAACCCGTTTGGCCTCTTCTGGGGTTATGCTCTTGAGGTAGGGACCAGAGAATGACTTCCTAAGGAGTTGGCCCTCATACATGGTGAACCTAACGACTCTTGTTTTTAGGCAGTGTGCTTCGTTCTTGTCGGCTGGGAGCTCATTGTGTTCCAAGTATTTCACTATCGAGGTCATCCAAGAGTCAGCTAGTTCGATGTCCATTGCTTCTTTGGGCGCCTTGCTTGTTAGTTGTTCCTTCTAGTTGGCTGGCCATTGTAGGAATAAAAATGGGATGGATGGCTGGGAAGAACATTGAAAGGCTAAACCGAGGTCAGTAAGGGTGTCAGCATGAGTATTCTCCACTCTTGGGACTTGGGCGATGGAGAATTCTTAGAATTCGGTCTGCAATTCTTTGACTAGGTTCAAGTAGATTGTCATCTTCGAGTCACGTGCTTGGTAAGTGCCTTGCAGTTGGTTGACCACAAGTTGGGAGTCAGATTTTACCTCCAGCCTCCTTACTCCGATTTCCTTGGCTAGGGAGAGTCCAACGATGAGAGCCTCGTATTCGGCTTCGTTGATGGTACACTTGAATCCACATCGTATGGCCCGCTGAATAACGTCTCCCTCTAGTGTAGTTAATACTAACCCCAGCCTACTTCCATTCACATTGCTTGAGCCATCCACTAAGAGAGTCCACTTTGAAGGTGACCCACTGTTCAAACATAATAACTCTCTTTCTGCTTGGATGATGGTGTTCGAGGTGAAATCAATTATGAAGTCTGCCAGTGCTTGGGACTTGACGGCAGTACGTGGCTAGAAAGATATGTTGAACTCATTAAGCTCTACCATCCATTGCGTGAGTCGGCCTGATAACTCTGGCTTGTATAGTATCTTCTTGAGTGGAAAAAAGGTGAGTACGATTATAGAGTGGCACTGAAAGTATGGCCTGAGCTTCCTGGATGCATGGACGAGGACGAGGACGAGGGCGAGGGCCAGTTTCTCCAGCTGACTGCATCGTGTTTCAGCGTCCAGGAGTGACTTACTTACATAGTAAACCGGCAGCTGCTTCGTATTATCTTCCCAAACTAACACTGCTAAGATTACTGTCTCTGAGATTGCCAGGTAGGTGTAAAGCTTCTCCCCATCTACAGGCTTAGAAAGGAGCGGATGGGAGGTCAAGTATCTCTTCAATTGTTGCAAGGCTTCCTCGCAGGGAGGGCCCATTCAAACTTTTTAGATTTCTTGAGTGTGTGGAAGAAGTGGTGGCACTTGTCAGCGGATTTGGAGATGAAGCGGCTTAAAGTGGCCACTCGTCCTGTAACGCGCTGGACATCTTTGATTCAAGTTAGTGATGGTATATTAAGGATCGCTCTGATCTGGTTGGGGTTGACTTCTATCCCCTACTGAGTTACCATGTATCCCAAGAATTTACCTGACAAGACACCAAACGAGCATTTGGCTAGATTCAGCTTCATGTTATACTTCCTTAGGATGGCGAACGCCTAATTGAGATGGTTAAGGTGTTGCTCGGTCGTTAAGGACTTGATGAGCATGTCGTCGATGTAAACCTCCATGGTGTCCCCGAGGTGTTCGGCAAACATTCTATTGACTAGTTGCTGATAGGTAGCCCTGACGTTCTTGAGACCGAATGGCATCACCTTGTAGTAGGAGGTTCCCCTCTCTGTGATGAAGGCTGTCTTCTCCTGGTCATCGAGGTACATCAAAATCTAGTTGTACCCTGAGAAGTATCCATGAAACTTAGGAGCTCGTGGCCTGCGATCGCATTGACCATCATGTCGATATGTGGGAGCAGGAAGGAGTCCTTAGGGCATGCAGACCCTCCACTTTCCGTTGTTTTTCTTTACAACCATGATGTTTGCCAGCCATTCGGGGTAGTGGACCTCTCTGATCAGATCATTACTTAGTAACTTTTCAATCTCTTCATTAACAATCTGGTTGCACTCTGGTACGAACTTCCTTCGCCTTGCTTGGCGAGTGATCTGGATCTACTTTGAGGTGGTGGACCATTGCCCTTGGGCTGACTCCTATCAAGTTAGCGTGGGACCAGGTGAAGCAGTCCTAGTTTTGTCTAAAGAATTCTATGAGTTTCTCTCTTGTTTCAGGCCTAAGGCGAGAACCTATATGGGTCTTTCTTTTAGGGTCTTCCGAGTGTATCTGCACTTCATCCAACTCTTCGATAGATGGTTGATCTGGCTCGGTCGGAGGGATTGGAGTAGTTGCTATGAAGCATTACCTTTGCTTTTGAAGGCATTCTTGTAACAAACTCTGGAAGCCTTAGAGTTGCCCTTGATTTCCCTTACTCCCCATTTTGTAGGAAACCTGATCGTTTGGTGGAAGGTGGATGGAACAGTTCGCGTGTCGTGGATCCAAGGTCGGTCCAAGATGATGTTGTGTGGTAACGGATAGTCAATCACTTAAAAAACAGTTTGCTTATTTACTTTGCTGGCGTAAACAGGAAGGACGATCCCTCCGATGGTGTATTTTTGCTCGGAGCTGAACCTGACCAATATGGTTGGTCGTTTATTGATGTTTGTTTCTTCCAAACGCATGGCCTTTACTGCTTCAAGGAAAAGAATGTTTGCCGAGGACCCCCTATCTATGAATACTCTCTTGACTAGGATGTTGGCGATCTGGAGGGAGATGATTAGAGAATCGTGATGAGGGGCAGCCAAGGTGACTGGCCCATCATCTTTGAGCTGGATTACCTGGTGGGTGTGTGACCAAGAGGACGGATGGATGGATTGGATTTGATGGTTATTTTTGGCTCTAGCATAGCGTTTGGCTGAGGAATAACTGACCCCACTGATCTCTGACCCTCCTGAGATGATTCAGCAGAATCCTTTTGTCGTAGGTTCCCATAGAGGTGGAGATGTTTCTTTCGTGCTTTCTAGCTAATGGTATTCTTCCCTTTATCTATCAACAGATCTCGGAGATGTCTCCTCTTCAGTAGTGCGACGACCTCCAACTGCAGGGCAATGCAGTCCGCGGTGTTATGTTCATGGTCGCCCTGGAACTTGCACCACTTGGTCATGTCTCTCCTTGCTTCGGCATTGAGCTTTCCTAGCCACTTAATGCTAGACCCCATTCCTTTCATGATTGCCACAACCTAGGCCGGTTTGAGTTGAGGTTGTACTTTGGGATTTTGTATCGGCTCGATCCAGTTGGTCTATTGTTAGTTCTAAGTAGCTGTCGGTCATATGGTTTTCTAACTTCGTTCAAATTGCGTGGAGGGGGTTGGTGACGGGGTTCAATCGATCTGAGCTCTAGCCTCTTATCATTCTGCCTTGGGTCATACCTGGCATGACTTGCCCGATTCATCTCATCTTCCTCCCACCTTATTTGAATCATCGCTCTGGCCAAGGCGTCTTTCATCGTGGTGCAACCAAGCTTCGTCAATTCTTTGTATAATTCACCATCTAGGAGGAGACCCTTCCTGAAGGCGTCTATGGTCGACTTGGGGTTATAGGAAAAGATGGAGATTTTTTCTTTGTTGAATCTACTGACATATTCTCTTAGCGGCTCCCCCATTTTCTGGTATACTTTGTACAGGTTGGTCGATAGTTTCTCAAGTTTCTTGCTGCTGGTGAATTGCTCCACAAAGGTGTTGATAAGCTGTGCAAATGAGTTGATTGAACCGTTTGGGAGGTTAGTGTACCACTGAAGAGCTGGACCAGATAGGCCTGAACCAAAACTCTTACACATGCAAGATTCCCTTAGCGTTTGGGGTATCGAGACAGTGAACATTCGCTGCTTGTACGAGGCTATGTGATCATCTAGGTTGGTTGCACCATCATAGGGTTTCATGCTAGGGATAGTGAATTTGTGGGGCATGTCAGCTGGTGCGATCGCATCCACGAAAGGAGAATCAGCATAGCAGTGAGGCTTGCTTTTTTTGGTGGGGATTGGCATTCCTGGTATGCACCTCATCACTACCTCTACGTCGGCTAGTCTCTTGGCAAATATCTATTCCATGGGAGAGGCAGATACCACTAGGTCATCCTAATTGACTTGGTTGGCTAGAGGATTCGCACTCGGTGCATTTTGTTGGGTTAACCCACATGTTGTAGCCTGGTGGATCATTCATTCGTGTATCGTTTGGTAGCTTGGATCCCCGTTCATTCCCTCCAGTTGGGTGACTCCCATTATAACTGATTGAGTGTTTCATCCTACATGAATGGTTAGGGAGGTTATTTGATACTCGCTTTGTCCGTTGGTATGGATAGACTCAAGTGGGATGGTTTAAAGTGGGTCACCGCTCAACCCGCGAGGATGAACGGAGTCGAATGGGGTTTATGTAGGGATGGTTGACCGAAGGTGAGGTGGGATGGCGAGGATGGGCGGTTTTTGTTGTAGCGGGCTTTCTATCACTTGGACGCCTTGATCTTGGGCCTGAGGCAGATCAACCGAGAGGGGTTCCATTGGCAGATCCCTTTGTCCATGAATCAAGGCTGAATCATCGACCAATGACGAACATAGTTGATGCGACCTTTTATTTGAGGTTGTGGGTCTATGCTCTGGAGTCTGGAGAGGTTGCATAGACGGAACTGAGGCGCGGAACCGATTTGGTGGTACTTGACAAGGTAGAAGCTCAAGATCATAAAACTAACTTACCTTCTCTTTCAGAGACTAGCTTTTGGCCCCGATGGAGCATTTTCGGTCCGGATGGCAATGTTCTCAGCTTCCAGTGCGGCCACCTTGTCTAAGTTCTGTTGCATAAAGGCGGTCAGAGCCTCCAATTTGGCCTCGAGGCCAGGGTTAGTGTTGTCAAAATTGTTAGCCATGGAAAGTTTCTTCACGTAGCAAGGTTCGTTGAGACGAATGATTGCTAGAGGCCCCACAGTGGGCACCAAACTGTAGAAATAAAATCTACTTGTACGGAATGAGCGACTGATCCTGTGAGGTTAAGGCCACTAGCGATCTGCTGCACCTACATGCGTAAGGAAACAAACAAGAAGCGACAGAAAACACTAGGGTCATGTTTTCTACAGGCACTCCAACCCTCAAGTCAGCAAGGCTGAAAGAGGCTAATTTGGTGAGGGCTAGGGAGAAGAAAGGTTACCAGAAGTCTAGTCAGGGACTGTGACTATGGCTGTAATGCGAAGTTCTCAAGCGGGAACTCCAGGGTCTGAAGGTGTAATGTGATCTCCTTTGTGAGAGGGTTGGCCATTGTTTAAATAGTAACTATATGGTTTCCCAATCCTAGTGGGATTGGGAGTCCTCGTAGTAGTCGTTCCTCCTAGGGGTGTATCCTTTGGCCCCCTTATCCTGGCGTGAAAGGGAGTCCGAGCATGACTCGGATATAGACCTTGGAGGAATTAGGGTAGTAGTGGACTGCCTTATCAAAGTTCAAGTAGGAGTGTGATCCGTAGGTGACTGTGAGCTCCGAATTTGACCATAAGCCCAAAAGGTGTGCTGGGATCAGGAGGCCCAGTCCAGATGGTATGGACCGACTGTACTTCATACCGAATGGGCCTCATTTGGGAAATTCTAGCTTGGGGTGCATCGGAACTGGGCCTAGGCTTTCCTCTTTGTCAGAAGTGTTCCCGTATTTGGGCCAAGGACATTTTTTGGCCCTAACACATTATTTTCTTGCATACACAAAACATGCTTGCTAAAAATTGCCAAATTGTTTTTGACATACTACATTATCATATTGGTGAATTTGTGATACGTATGACCTGTTTTCTAAAATATTTCACTTCATAGGCATCTTTCGCAACCATATCTTCTTAGATAACTCAAAAGTTGAGTAGCAACATTCTACTTTATGGAAAAAAATCATTGCATGTTGTTGTTCTATATATAAATTTATATTTTTTTTTTTATGTTTTTTCACTGTCTTGTGTTCGAGATTATTTGTAAAGTTATTTATTATTTTTTTTTTTATCCATCTTAAATTTGTTATGAAATTTCAATTTAATTATCAAAAATTATATTTTAGGAATAGCGATGGTAGGGGTATATAGTATAAGGTAATGAAATGTTAACTCTTTTAATATATCGAAAATGGAAAGAATGGCATTTATGAAATTTATAGGGTGTCATAAATAAAAGTAATTTTAAATTTTGAAATGATGTGTCTAAGAAATGGAGATTATTTATCAATTAATAGGATGCAATTGCTCCACTCTTGTAGAATAATTTCAATATTACCATTGTAATGCCCATATCAAAACAAAATGTTGTAAGTCTTATTCTAACTTGATGCAAAGTACATTCACCCATGTGTTGTATCGGCTCAACATGCTTTACCCTTTTATTTCAGTTTCATACAGAATTAGGTGAGTTTGGAGTTGTAATTTCTCTAATAGCACTTATTTAATAAGCTATGACTCAAATGTCTTTGCTATCTACATTTTAAAATTGATTATAAGAGAAGTTATTATTGAATATTCTATTTCATGAAATGATTCTAGAGGAGATTTTTGTAGCTTTTGAATTTAAAAGTTGCTTTTGAAAAGTCTATTTAAAAAAAAAAAAAAAAAAAAAAAAAACCTTCATATATGTACAAAAAATTAAATAATATTTAATAATTTATTCATAAATTTAAAATTATCGATGGTAGTAGGTTGACAATCAACGGTGGTCAACGTCAATCAACAATACCTGTTAATATATCTTAATAATAACAAAACATATTTTGCTCTTTTTACAGTCAAAGGGAGTTACTCGTAAGATAAAAGTAAGCGGTTGGCGCAAAGAGATTCAGCTGTTACAGTGAATGGTCGTAACATTCTAGTAAAAAGTCTCTAAAGCAGCAAAGTGATTCTTTTACCGGAGCGGGTTTGATTTTAAGAAGGAGTATCCCTCATGGTGTTTTGTGGCTGGAAAGTGAGCCTCATGCTTGGCTGTGGTTGTTGCTTTTGTGGGTTGGCTGGGTGGTTATTTTGGGTGTTGGCTAGAAAGGTGCAAGCAGTAGGGGTTGAGGGTTGCTCTGAGATGGGGTAATTGGTAGCTGTCGAATGCTCCAAATTAATAACCTTACTAACCTAACTACTAAATTGCTAGGGTGAGCAAGGGTCAATCCATAGGGAATGATTCGATTAAATCCTATTCTGACCAATAACCACACGAAAACAATAGAAAATAAAACAAATAAAATCCTAAACAGTAAACATGAAACAAAATAATGAAAGGGGTTGTAGACAATGCAATCTAAAGTGAAACGAATAAATCTCCAATCAGAATTAAAAACAGCCAGTTCTCGGTTCAAGATCCACCTAAACATGCATTGACATGATAACCGTACATTATTCTATCTCGTTTTATGAATTATTGACCCTAGAACAACAGCTCTGTTACCCGAATTTTCTCTTAATTGTCACTACTGAAAGCTCTTCAATTAGATCCTAACCCTGAACAACCTAGAATAACTCTCTAAGTTTAATTCAATGGCAGCCTTAAAAATTAGGAAAATAGATCAATTCAAGCAACAATCACACAAAACAAATTTTCCTAATATTAAGGACAAACCGTTCACATAACCCTCTATGTTTACAATAGGGAACGTATGAAGATCGTGAAAGAGAAAAAGAAAGGGGAGGAATAGAAGTCAGGAGAGAAAATTTGAGGAAGAAAATAAGAAACTTATGAAGATCATGGAATAGAAAAAGCAAGGGGAGGAATTAGAGAAGTGAGAAGAGAAAATTTGAATGGGGAAGTTTTCTTTATTCTCAATAATCAATCAGAGCTAAGGCTAGATAGCAAAAGTGCAAAACAACTAAGACCCTTATATATGGTGGCTATTATCATTGTCAATCAGCTTGTCTCTTTCCATTTAAACCAGATATCTTCAATGTCAGAGAATGCTGGTATAAATCTAGATTCTCTTACTTAATTCCTGCTTTAAATAGAACAAAATGGTTCGTTTTGACTATTTACCATAACCAATCCTCCACAACATTTTCCATTTTCTCAAATACCTCATTTTAATATGGATGAACTAGAACTTGGAAGCCCCTAAATACCAAGCCAACCTTCTCAGCTAGGAAGCTGATGTAGACCATATAGGATGCAAAGGGATATTTAGTTCTTATCTTTCCATATTTTAGGATTGAGTGTCTTAGTTATTTCAGTCTTTTATTTTATTGTTTAATTAGGATTAGAATATTCCATAGTTCATTGCCGTATTAGGATTAGAATCATTAGAATTGGATTTGGTTTCTTTAGCCTATAAATAAGTCTTATTTTTGTTGGAATATAAGAGAGTTGATGATTAATAATAAGATTGATAATTGAGTATTGTTTCCTGGAATCTCTTGATAGTTCTTCTTCTAAATATCTAATTCCTCTCTATCTCATTAATTCTTATATATCTATCTTGTTATTTTTTCTTCTTCCCTTATCAGAAGCTTAATTCCTTTTGCTGGGTCGCATGAATGATTCAATCTCTGTAGTAGTACTTCAATCTACCCTTACGATAAGCTCCTGCCTATTTTCTTTATTTTTTTTGGAAGCATTGATTGATTTGCTTCAGGATTCACGTGCATCCCTTGTTCCCACCTGCATTTGTTGTTTTTAGTTAAACTTTCAAAGCACTTTAATGGGGTTATTAACTGTATAATTGCAAATTTGCAGGTACAAAAAGCAAATATCCAGTGTAGATTTGACCAAAGATTTTTTCTTTAGCTATACATATCCCATCATGCAAAGTTTGCAAAAGAATGTGTTGTCAATGGGTGAGGAAGGTATGCCTTATGATAACATATTTGTGTGGAATGCATATCTAACGCAAGCCATTAGATCAAGGTGCAATAACACTATTTGGACGATAGCATTAGTTCATGGGCATTTTAAGCAGGTATGTAGTTCTTTCAAATGGTTATATTTCTATTGATGTAATTTTAATTTTTCACTTTAGATGATAAAGAAGAAAGTAGATTTATTAGAATTAAAATGAAATTACAAATATAGTGAACCAACAGTCCACTAGATATCTACAATATTTAGAAACTGAATAAAGGACTTCAAATTATTTTCAAGACAGGGTCTCAATCTCTAAGAATAAATAAAAAAAATATATCCTTAAATTGTTTAGACACCAAAGCCCATAAATATCTAAGAATATAATTTTCTCACAAAAAAGGGTTAATGACAATCACACCCATTGTAAATTGAAAAACTGACACTTTCCATGCCATACCCATAACTACAGAAACTACCAAGAGCACCCTCTGTCGTTAAATCTTTCTGTTAAATATGAGAGTTGACTGATTTTGACCGACACAATTTTTCTATTTCTTATTTGTCCATTTTATCCTTAATGAAATTTCTTTTAATTTCTATAAATTTAAAAGTAAAAGAAATAATGCAAAAAATTCAGGAAAAATCCTATAAAATTTATGGATAACCTTAGAAAAAAATGATTAGTTTTACCAAGAATATATATTAACTAATATATTTAAAATTAGATGAAGAATCCAAAAAAAATTTAAAATATTGCAAGAAATTTAAAAACCTTTCAAAACTATTTATCTATTCCAAAAAATATTTAAGTATACTGAAGTTATACAGAAAAATTAACGCCATATGAAATTAGCCTCTTCTTCATTGTTTTAGAGGCAAACATCATTAATCATCCTAGAAGTTTTGGAATGGTCAAGCCAATGGTAAGTTTGCAGTTTTTAATCAATCTGTCTCCCAAAAGTTTCAAAAAATTATTCAGAAACACTCCTTACGAATAGATTCAGTTAATTTAGCATTAGTTGACCTTTAACAAAGCTTAAAATTTCTATTTTACCCTTACTCTTACCTTAGCAAAATAATGAAAAAATAGTAATGTATGACTAAAATACCATATCAACAAGAGATAAATTATAAGAAAGATATTTATGGCACTTAATCTAAAATCATATAACATTTAATCTAAAATCATATAATATATTATTATAATTATTTATTTCAAGTTTTTTTGTGCTATACAAAAAATTATTTAATCAAAAATTTTCTCCAACGTGCTTTCTATCTTTTGTATTGTTGTATCATTTTAAATATATATGCACAATGCAGTTGGCTTCTTGTATTTCTGCTTATGTACTTCCTGTATATGCTTGTTGATTGGTTCAAAGTGTGATAGAATATAGATTGATGATGGCAGACTAGGCTATCCATCTTTGGAAGGGATTTCAGCGTTTCTCTGATTTCTAGACGCTCGCGGCATTTTGCGGGAACACGGTACTCTTTGGTTTGAACTCATGTTCATTTATTCATGAAATTGTGATTGTCATTCACACTATTGGGCTATGTGAAACAAGTCTTCTGATATTGTATGCATGGTACGGAGTTGCTTTAAATTTTCCTGAATTATCTCTGGGAAGCATCACTTTGGAAGAACTTTTAGTAGTAAATCCCGTTCATGATGGCTTAGGATTATTTTAAGTGGTTTAAAAAGGTGACTTCCGACTTTTTTTTGATGCATAATTGTAGGTCGTTCTTTCATGGATTCCAATCGTCATCTAAAAGTGTTTGTTTTCATTTGTATTTTGCCTTACCTAGTACAATTTGAATTTTATGAAAGTTTTTAAGTTACCTAAATATGAAGCCACATGTGTATGGTTGAATGTAATTTCTCTCCTCAACTGAATAAGTAGGCAAGAAAATTTTGGTTATTTCCATTGCCTGAATTGTTCTCTTCATTCTTTATCAAAATTTTCCATCTTCAAAACTTTGAGAAATTAATATATCAATCCTCTTTGTACTTTATTTTAATTTTTTCCCTCGCTGTGCGTCAACAAGTTTTTAGTTGGAGCTTGACTGTGCATCAGCAAAATTCTCTATCAATCCTCTGATAGAGGAGTGTAAGGAATATAGAGAGAATAAGCAAATGATAGAGAGGACAGAAGTCAGGGGCTATGTTTATTTTTTGTTTTTCTCATTTTTCTGTTACTGATAACAACTAGTGATCTGATAACAAAGGATTTTTTTTTCTTATTTATTTCATGAAATCTATCAAATCAACTGTAGGAAATGCTTCAAAGACCATAAAGGCTTCACTTAATAATAAAATTCAGGGAATATTTCCATTTTGGAAATGTTGTATTCATTACATCTTTTATGGTTTTTCATATTTAAAAGTTATTATTGTCTGTAGTTACTTGAAAAGGGGAGTAAATGACCGAGGAAGAGTTGCGAATGATGTTGAAACAGAGCAAATTGTCCTCGATGAGGAAGCTGGGTCATGTAAGGGAAAAATGAGTTCTGTGGTGCAGATGCGTGGTTCAATTCCCCTTTTCTGGTCCCAAGAAGCTTCCAGGTTCAGTCCTAAGCCTGATATTATCTGTAAGAACATTGTTTAATACCTTTATTATTATTATTTTTTTTTGGTTTAAGTATTTTATAAAAACCCTTTCGATGTTTCCTCTTCTTTTTCCTTCTTATTTCAGTACAGAGGTTTGACCCTACATATCAGGCAACTAAACTGCATTTTGAAGACCTGGCAAAGAGATATGGAAATCCAATAATTGTTTTAAATTTAATCAAGGTTACTTTCAGTTACGTTTTGTGCAACTTGCTTTCTTATACTCTTTATATTCTCATTGTACTTGCATGTTTGCTAACAGAATATTTGTTGGTGAATTAATATTTTTCATTTTTGTATTGACCAAAATTTAAGCAACAGTGATGATTGTTTTCTGCCAAACGTTGCGCAAAACTTATAAATTTAATCACATTGCTGAGATTAGTTACTTAAGTCTTTAAATATGCTATTTTCGACCAGATTTCCTTTGTCAATGGATCTTGTAAACAACATGGGTATTTCTGGATTCAATATTATTTTGTCATTGTAATGGTAGATGAGTAATACATGAGGGCTAGTATGCATGAATTGAGTGCGTTTGATGGAACTAAATATAAGGCTGAAAACAGAAAATGACAAAACTGTATAGTATCAAGGTAAATTATCTAGTTCTCTAAGAAACCTGAATGATAGTTTTAGAATCCCATATTGGAAGGGAAAAGGGTGGGCATGTTGGTTATAAAGGGCTTGAGCACCTTCCCTTGGCAAGTTGGTTTTCTAAGGAGAGCTCTACCCAAGCCCATAAAAGACCCACCGCCCAGCCCAATTCCTATCAAAAGCCCAATATCCAGCCAATGCATATCAATTTGGGAGTGGGTTCCTATCAGATAGAGAAGTAGATAATTTATCTTCTTTTTTTTCATCAGTTTTTTTAAAAATTTTTTATTTCAATCAATCAAATGAGGCAGATGGAAGAATATGGAATACGTTTTTTCAGGTGTTCTCTTAGCAAGTTTTTCTTTAAGTGCTTGCGGATTGGTTCTTTGCTTTCTTTTTTTTTTTTTACTTTTTTGTATGACGGTGTGTTGACTAGGGAATCGTGTTGTTACTGTGTATGTAATTATTGACTGTAAAAATCATCAGTGCAATTGTGCATTGTGTGATTTCTTTCCTAAATTAGGTATATAATGATCGGAAAGAAATAGAACTTAGTGATGCTTGAAATCTGGATTTTAACAAGATAAGGTGCCCTTTCTTTGTTGTTGTAGGTTTCAGTTTTCAAAGATATAAACGAAATCTTAGCAAGAAACCTTGACTTATCTCATTAATCCAAGCATCGTGATAAAATCTTTTTATTTCTTTCCAATTAAATATTGGAGAACTTCCAATACACACAATTCTATAATATCACCAGAAACCTTCATATGGAGGTCTTTGTTGAAAAGAATAAAAAAAACTACTTTACAATTGGGCCAAACCTTAGGAAAAGTAAGTGAAAGCTTGACATATATTCTTCATAATTATATTATGTATTCATTTTTGTTTGTTCCAGTTCTCATTTATATCAGTAACTGCAACTTGGCTATGAGGGTTCTCCCCCCATGCGAATATTTGTTTTTAAGAGCACATATAAATGTAGAAAGACATTGTGACATAACATTTTCTCTTTTGTCTTTGTTGGCCTTTATATTTTAGTTACTTATTAAATCATTTCTCCACATTTAAATACGTTTTTGGAGCTCATTTACATATTAAATTGCAGACTGTTGAGAAAAGGCCGCGAGAAATGATGCTAAGGCGTGAGTTTGCAGATGCAGTTGGGTATCTTAACACAATTATCCCAGAAGAAAACCAAGTTCGATTTATACATTGGGACTTCCATAAGTTTGCAAAGAGGTAATTATGTATTTTATCTCACAAAGTAATCATCATCCAATCTAACACAAGAAAGAAGCTGCATTTCATGTCAGTTAACCTTTTTTTCTTTTCTTTGTTTTTCTTTGCTGATTTCTAGCAAGTCAGCCAATGTTTTAGCTGTTTTGGGTGGCGTGGCAAGTGAAGCACTTGACTTGACTGGTTTTTTCTATAGTGGTAAACCAAGCATCGTTAAGAGGAAAACCAACCAACCTAGTCGAACTGGAAGGTATTAAATTGTGCTCTAGTTTTTAGATACTATTGATAAATAGTTTGAACATATGTAGTCTTCTTTGAGAGTATTGGTATATGAATCTTTCCCCATTACCTATTATTTCCTGCAAAACCTTCTATCCTCAAGCAATTTTCCACAAAAAATCCTTTCCATGCATGTAAGCAGAATATATGATTTCAAAGGTAGAATAAACATAGTCCTGACTTCTTGGATAGTAAAGGCAACTCTTTTCTTTATTTGGCACCAAATGAAAGGCAAAAACATAGAAAAACCCACATTCATAGCACTTGTATAAACACCCAAATCAAAATCTGACCCACAAAAATAATTCAAAAAAAAAAAAATTGAAAGGAGGAGATGGTAGTTGTCTGAAATGTGGGCAATGGTGGTGGTTGGGGTGTGCATGAAGTATTGTGGTAGTTGTATACGGTGGTTGTCTTGTTGGAAAGAAGCACCACCTTGTGTTGCTGCTTAAGGTCGTGATGCGGCCCAAGTTGGTTGTAGCTTAAGGTCGTCACATGGTCATCACCAGTAGTTACTTGAGGCTGTGACGAGGCCATTGCAGGCAACAACATGAGGCCATGATGCAACCATATTGGGCGCCGCATAAGGTTGTGCGGCGGTCACACTGAACTACAAATTCGGCCACCATTGGCATGGACACCGTTGGCCTCGTCACCATTTGTGTCGTTTGGAAGGATTTAGGGATTTGAAAAATAGAATTTTTTTTTTGGATATTATGAAAGACACCACAAAGTTTGTGACATTATTAGTAGGGTGTTTTTGGGATTTTTATCTAATTGTTTTTAAGTAAGATATAAAAATAAGGGTATAAGTGATATTTCATAGTTTGTTAATGGTAGACTAAAAGATTCTGTCAATAGGGGTGGTTTTTGAATAATTTTCAAACTTTAAGGGTGATTTTGTATAATACTCCTAAAGTTAGTGTCTAGCTTTCAGTTTGTGAAACTTTAGGTTGGTTGTTTCATTTAATCCATTGTAGGCCACTAATTCTTGTTTCAATTGCCTAATAGACTGAAAGAAAGAAGTGCTAAGCCTCCACTCCACAATGAGCCTTTGCCAAGGGCACACAAATATTTTTATGTTGCGTTGGTGGCCAATGAAGTTGAGTAATGTAGGAAAGAAAAAGCTAGATGGGATGGTGGTTAAATAGATCTTGAAAAGGTTTCTTAGCATTTAGATTGGGGTTCGATGGACTTTGTTCTCTGTGAGGGGGAGCTGGGGAGGTTGGATTATGGCTTTTCTATATCTATAAATGGGAGGCAAGGGGGGAATAAGAGAGTAGATGGCTTTTCTCATTTGTTTTCACATTAGTTGTAGATGGACTGACTACAACTGGGGATGTTGGATTGTGGCTTTTGTATATATATAAATGGGAGACAAAGGGGGAATAATGGGAGGAGATGGCTTTTCTCATTTCTTTTCACATTAGTTGTAGATGGACTGACTACAACCATGGAGAAAACAATTCTAAGTAGCAAGTTTCTAAGTAATATGGGTTGGCAAGGGCAAAATTTTCTTAAAGAAGCTGTATTCTCAAAATCTTGGGAGAAGCAACTTAGCACTCTTGAAGTTTTGATTGAGTACTTCCTCTTGAGAATATATTAAATTCTTTTATGGAAGCCACAAAATTAATTTTATTTCTTTCCTCACAAAATTTTACAAATTCTATATTCACATTCCTTTTTTCTTTCACTTCTACTAGATAATATTGACATGTTGATTAAGTGTAGGTATCGTATGCAGATGACATATTCATTTTCTGCTATTGGCACTCTACTCTTTAAATAACATGATGGCTATATATACTCTTGGAATTCTTTTTTTTTTTTTTTTTTTTAATTCAAAACCGGAGTTAAATATATGGAGACACTATGTTGATTGTTACAGGTGCTTAAATATATGAACATTTTTATTTTCTGTTATTGGCACTCTATTCTGGAGACACTGTGTAGACTGTTACAGGTGCATAAATACATGGTTTTTGGAAGCCCATTCTTTGAGGTTGTGTTTGGTTTTCTATCTCAGCATAAAACTTTATTAGGTGCCAAGACAAGACACGTATTATGATTTTCAAATTTCTAACTGAACAGGGAACGTTGTTTTTCTTTTTGTGTTTGTTTCTTATAGAGATGCTTCTCTTAGAGAGTTGCGTGCCAGTTCAGGGGACCTTGCAAGGCTTGCAAGTAGTGGTGAGAATTTAAGTTCTATAATTAATCGAGAGAGAGATACGGATTTTGGCCAACAAAATAAAAAAGACAACCATGGTGGTGTAGCACCATGTTTTCAAAGTGGAGTTCTGCGCACTAACTGCATTGACTGCTTAGATCGTACTAATGTTGCCCAGTATGCTTATGGGCTTGCTGCTTTGGGCCGCCAACTTCATGCAATGGGTTTGACAGACATGCCAAAAGTTGACCCTAATAGCAGCATAGCTGCAGCTCTTATGGATATGTATCAGAGCATGGGGGATGCTCTTGCACAACAATATGGTGGCTCTGCTGCTCACAATTCTGTATGATTATCTCTGACATGCTATATTTTAGTATGCATTTATTGGTTATTGAATTTGCACTTCTAGTTGTGTGCCTTCTTTTTTGGAGTACCAATACATCCTTCTTCTCAGGTGTTTCCAGAGAGGCAGGGAAGGTGGAAAGCTACTACCCAATCTAGAGAATTTCTTAAGTCTATCAAGCGATACTATAGTAATGCCTACACCGATGGTGAAAAGCAAGATGCAATAAATTTGTACTTATTTCTGCCTGTCATATTTTATTTTTAATTTTACATGTATAAATTGCTTTTTCCTTATCCTTAAAAGTTTTATTCCATAAAGGCTTAATAATATCTCTGAAAAGATAGTGATACAATGCTCTGGCTGTAAATTAAATTGGTTTTAAAGTTTACATCAGCTTGTTTATGTTCTGAAACTAGTATGTTTTGTTGGTTTTACCAGATTTTTGGGTTATTTTAAACCACAGGAAGGGAAACCTGCTCTATGGGAATTGGATTCTGATTATTATCTTCATGTTTCCGGGATTGGTGATGACGTATTCCCTGATAAATGGTAGGTATTTTATCTCTGCTTTGTAAAAGCTATAAGCTTAATTAAATCTTCTTACTCACACACAGAAGCAGATATGTTATCCTATTAGAATTTAGTTTTTTTTTTTCTCTTTCAATTGTCCACTATGCAGTTTGGAAGCTACTGTTAAAGCTGTAGGACAAGGAATGATTCTTGCCCCTGTTCCAGCATGCAGAGAAGATTTTTCTCGGCTGAAATTGACTTCCTTTGAAAAATTGATATCGAAAACATGTAGCTCAATAAAAAATGTTAGACTTTGCAGTGAACCAGATCAAAGACCAGGTGGTGGTGCTGGAAATTCGGGTGTGGCACCTGATGCAGCGTAAATCTTCCTCCCTTTCTCATTCTGCATTTGTGCACAATTTCTATCTCATTTCTTAAAAGATTTTGATTTGTTTACTCTCTTAGTTTTTCTGGTCATGTTTATGACTTCCTCCATCTCTTCTGTTCTGCTGTTGAGGACATACTTTCTCTCTAAGCTTGTGATTTCAGGTTTTTCTACCTTTTTAATACAGCTTCAGATCCTCTTTTAGTCAACTATCTAGGGTCCTATATAGTCTTATTTGTTATATGTATTGTTGTGTAGCTGTGTGGATCACCTTAGATCAAGAGGCTTGCCTGTCCACCAAGTTCATAAGCATGTTTAGTTTCTTCATTTGGTTACTAGTTTTAGAGTACTTGTTTGAACTTATAACTTGCAGAATAAGCTCCTTTTGTTTACCTTGTTTTATGTCCACATTTTTATTTCATCACTCTTAGTTATTTGCATGAAGTATTTTCATTATCTGATTTTTAGTTTGTTTAACACTTTGATCTTGTCAGTGCAAATATGAGAATTTGTGCGGCAATTTATTTTATATTTTTTAACTTGGGCAAGTTTCTTATGCAGTGAAATACAGTTGAAGAGTCCAAATTGGCTCTTTGGCCAGAGAAAGCTTGAAGGAAGTGTGTCTGCTCCCAAAGTTACATCACATGAAATTGTAAATCGGGAAGTTCATAATGAAATCAGAGCCAACAGTTTCTGTGACCTTAATTGGCTTTCTTCGGTTGATGACATAAACGAAGAAGATGTCTTCCAGAGGTAATTTTCTCTGTAAAGCATTCCCATTTTGCATAGGAGGACACTTCAATGCTGTTTCTCAGTGTTATAGCTTAGTTAACCCAACTCAGTTTGTCACTAGCTAGGCTGGCCCTCAAGTTGCTTGTTTTGAGCCAAAGCTTGAACTCCATAATAGCCTTTAAGAACCAAAAGGTGACAATGCATGTATTTTCTACTCTGTTCATGGGCCATGCAGCCATTGGTATGATTTAGGTGAAACCTGGCTAGATTATACGTTATGTAGCAAATATGCATGCTTGGAGTATCCTTTGACATGATTCTATACGCAACTATCAGTTTATTTGTGAAGTTGGAATAGGATTTTGACTTTAATTTGTTCAATTGACGTTGAGGGTTTTAGAAATTNCCTTATCCTTAAAAGTTTTATTCCATAAAGGCTTAGTAATTATCTCTGAAAAGATAGTGATACAATGCTCTGGCTGTAAATTAAATTGGTTTTAAAGTTTACATCAGCTTGTTTATGTTCTGAAACTAGTATGTTTTGTTGGTTTTACCAGATTTTTGGGTTATTTTAAACCACAGGAAGGGAAACCTGCTCTATGGGAATTGGATTCTGATTATTATCTTCATGTTTCCGGGATTGGTGATGACCTATGCCCTGATAAATGGTAGGTATCTTATCTTTGCTTTGGACAAGCTATAAGCTTAATTGACTCTTCTTACTCACACACAGTAGCAGATACGTTATCCTATTAGAATTTAGTTTTTTTTTTTCTCTTTCAATTGTCCACTATGCAGTTTGGAAGCTACTGTTAAAGCTGTAGGACAAGGAATGATTCTTGCCCCTGTTCCAGCATGCAGAGAAGATTTTTCTCGGCTGAAATTGACTTCCTTTGAAAAATTGATATCGAAAACATGTAGCTCAATAAAAAATGTTAGACTTTGCAGTGAACCAGATCAAAGACCAGGTGGTGGTGCTGGAAATTCGGGTGTGGCACCTGATGCAGCGTAAATCTTCCTCCCTTTCTCATTCTGCATTTGTGCACAATTTCTATCTCATTTCTTAAAAGATTTTGATTTGTTTACTCTCTTAGTTTTTCTGGTCATGTTTATGACTTCCTCCATCTCTTCTGTTCTGCTGTTGAGGACATACTTTCTCTCTAAGCTTGTGATTTCAGGTTTTTCTACCTTTTTAATACAGCTTCAGATCCTCTTTTAGTCAACTATCTAGGGTCCTATATAGTCTTATTTGTTATATGTATTGTTGTGTAGCTGTGTGGATCACCTTAGATCAAGAGGCTTGCCTGTCCACCAAGTTCATAAGCATGTTTAGTTTCTTCATTTGGTTACTAGTTTTAGAGTACTTGTTTGAACTTATAACTTGCAGAATAAGCTCCTTTTGTTTACCTTGTTTTATGTCCACATTTTTATTTCATCACTCTTAGTTATTTGCATGAAGTATTTTCATTATCTGATTTTTAGTTTGTTTAACACTTTGATCTTGTCAGTGCAAATATGAGAATTTGTGCGGCAATTTATTTTATATTTTTTAACTTGGGCAAGTTTCTTATGCAGTGAAATACAGTTGAAGAGTCCAAATTGGCTCTTTGGCCAGAGAAAGCTTGAAGGAAGTGTGTCTGCTCCCAAAGTTACATCACATGAAATTGTAAATCGGGAAGTTCATAATGAAATCAGAGCCAACAGTTTCTGTGACCTTAATTGGCTTTCTTCGGTTGATGACATAAACGAAGAAGATGTCTTCCAGAGGTAATTTTCTCTGTAAAGCATTCCCATTTTGCATAGGAGGACACTTCAATGCTGTTTCTCAGTGTTATAGCTTAGTTAACCCAACTCAGTTTGTCACTAGCTAGGCTGGCCCTCAAGTTGCTTGTTTTGAGCCAAAGCTTGAACTCCATAATAGCCTTTAAGAACCAAAAGGTGACAATGCATGTATTTTCTACTCTGTTCATGGGCCATGCAGCCATTGGTATGATTTAGGTGAAACCTGGCTAGATTATACGTTATGTAGCAAATATGCATGCTTGGAGTATCCTTTGACATGATTCTATACGCAACTATCAGTTTATTTGTGAAGTTGGAATAGGATTTTGACTTTAATTTGTTCAATTGACGTTGAGGGTTTTAGAAATTTTCATCCTTTTTAGATATGTAGGTAGCCTTAGATTTATTGATTAGTGTTGTAGTATGTTGATTCAGACACAGCTGTTATGTTTTAATTCAAACACAATCTGTTGGAGATGACCACCATTAAAATCTTTGATACAAGAACATGTTATACATGTGTAGGTTATCTGGATTTATAATCTTAAACACATTAAAATGTTTCTTAAAAGTTTCACTCTAGAATTCACTCATCATCTGTTATCAATTGTCTAGGAAAGTATAATAACTCTAAACCCATGTCATTCCCTTAAAATACAAATAACCCCCGCCTTTTTTTTAAAGGCAAAAAAAAAAAAAAAAAAAATAATAATAATAATAATAATAATAATAAAAAATTTAATCCAATGCTAATGAAATTTCCGTTACAGTTGAGCAGTTGTAGGCTAAAATGGTAATTGATGATGCAAAAGATCAGATAAAATAAAATAAAAAAATAGATAACTTTAAACTCCATGAGATATATTTAAAATACGGATAACACTTGCTTATGTTATGTTTTTCAAAATTATTTTTCAGTGTAAAAATACGTTAGTAAACTTTTTTTTATCATATGTTCTTAGAATATGTCAGAACAAACCTTGAAAGAATTCATAAAAGTTTAATTTATTTCATCCCATGCACCTAAATTAATATAATTTTGATGGAATAGATAAAATATTGTATTAAAGGTAAATTCGAGTTGAAGGGTCAGATTGATTTTTTTCTAGACAAAGTCATTCATGCTGAATTACTATGTTTTCTTAAAAGATAAAAAAAAATTGATTAATTCTTTGAAACTTTGAATCATATAGAAATTACAAATGAGCTTTTCTCAATTATAAATGGATAGGTTGCTAGGTTTCACCTAGTTGCACGTATACACAAGTTATTTTTCAATTTTTCTTCACTCATACCGCCACATTGCCTGGCCTAGCTACGGAGTTTAATTTATAAGTGGTCCCTCTTTTTTGTAAAATTAATTATTACATTTGGATAATGTCACCAAAAAAGTATAGGGTTATTTGTATTGAGGAAATGACAGGGGGTCTCAAGTGTTTGGCCGTTTAATGAAAGCTTTTAAAAATTAGAAGAAAATCCGGGATTTCACTGGTCTGTGTGTGTCAGGTGTCTGTCATGGATAATTAGATTTATGTCAGGGGTTTGTTATTATTTTTGAAAAACTAAAGGGTTATTTGTTCTTTTGAGAAATCACCGAAGGTTTAGAGTTTTTACTCCAATACCAAATTCAGAATGGCGATGGCACTTTAAAATAGGAATGTTTAGTGTTCATTTCTGTGACTGATTTTCTCATCTCTCTTCATTTCTGTTTATAACTTAATTTATTGTCTCGTGGTTATCTAGGTATCTCACAATGACCTCTGCTGATGAAGCCAATGGTTGGTATGGTGGAACACTGCTCGGTGATCAAGATGAAGGCAGTGAGATATATAAACATTATACTGAACTATGCCAGGTAATGTGTTCATGTACTTTGAAGGAAAATGAAATATAGCTGGCTCTAATCATTTTCATAATTGATGCATATGGGCATGTAATAACAATTAATTGGCACTGGAAACGAGCTCTTATGGTCAACTTTTGGAATTGCAGGGCCCAGCAATGGAACCCTTCCAAAATGATCATCAGAGGGAGATGCACTATTCTCATGTTCTAGAAATGAATAGACTTGATGTGGTAGACAAAGATGTGGTCGAAGCAGAGATGGAAGCAGTCCTCAGGGAGTATGATCAAATTGGTGCTGATCTTCGGATCATCCCGACATCATGTAAATTGTTTGCTGAAGATCCGAGTAGGTTGTCGAGATGGATCATTGGGGAGGAGAAGTTGCAGAAAGTGTGAAACCAGTTTGCAGCTGTGTTTCCTGGCACTGTATATGTAACGTCATTGTTATCTTTCTGTAATGTAAATTATTTTGGTTAGTGATTTCGAAGAGTTATGTAAAGTATGCTGAATGGTACACTAATTTCTTGGAGTCAATCACCACAACATGAGTTTTAATATTTCAATGGTTTATTTTTCTGCTTGTCCATAGCCTCGCTTCAGAGAAAGAATAGCTGCTGTCTCTTTTACTGTCCTCAGAATCCATTAGTCTTAAAATTAAGGCCAAAATACCTACAAGGTCAACACGATTACTTCATTTTGCTTTAGTCAAGACAATCTACAGATATATAGTAAAAAATTGTCTTAATTAAGTTTGGATAACCCCATGTCCAACCCAAATAGAGTGGGTCAAGATTGGTGCACCCGTTTTCTAATTGGGTTGGGTTTGAATTGAGGCACTCTAAATACTGATTGAAATTCATAAATAGGGTGTACCCTTTTAGCTCTTGTGAATCATTTATTCCCTAATCTCCATACCCATTTCAATATTATAGCAAACTTTCATTTTCTTCGTTAGTACAATGCCCTGTCACAATAAATAAGCAAAAGTTCTAGAACAATTACAGGCAACCTCCAATCTTCACTAATCTAACATTTTCAGAATTTCGGTGAGAAAACTTCACTCTTTTGAGGAGGTTTACTATAATGGGTGATTGGGTGGAGGTTTACACCTCCCTCTTCTTTATCATTTTACCCTTATATAGAAAATGGAGGTGATAAAGAGTAATACTTCCCGTCCCAAAATTTACATTACAAATGATATGCCATCTTATTTAGTATGGTTATGTTATTTCATTAAATAACCATAGATAATATATCATTTTTTGGGATGAGAATTTTGTGATAATCTTTAGAGTGTTTAGGATTATGATTTTAAGTTATGTATGGATTATGATTTTAATTATACATAACTTAAAATAATAATCATCTCTATTCAATATTTAAAGTTAATGAGATAGTGATACTAATGCTATTCCAGTGTAAAAGAATGTCAGCTCCTCAAATTTAGTGAAATCAACGACTTGGACTCCAATTATTAAGGAAGATGTTTGGACACGTGTTACTGAGTGAGGGTAACGACTACGCTAATGACTGAGCTAGCACAACTGAAAAGATTTAAATGTAAAAGACGTGGTATGAATTTAGTTATCATAATTTTTTATATAAAGTTTAGAAGTACAAGCGTATGACAGACTTAGGAGTGGGCGGGTCTAGGTACCCTTCTAGTTTCAAAGGAATCGAAACCGGAACCATCGGTTCTTATTTCTTAATTCCTGGAATTGGAGCATTCTAGTTTTGGTTCTGGTTTCGAATACTGAAAATATTCGTAACCCCCTTACTAATTAAAAAAATGAGAAACATACCTGTAAAAATTGTAATGCATTCCCAAAATTAAAGTTACATATAATTGTTCTCTCTCTCCTCCCTCGTTCTCCTCATGAGCTCTTCTCTCACTTGGAGTCGCAAGTTTGATTTTGGTTGGATGCAATCTGAAGCTGCAAATTAATGGAGCTCTCAAGTGGAGTGTGGAGAGAATGAGAACAATACTAGTCTTATAGAAAAACCTCAAAAGTAGATTAGAAGGAGCTAGCCATTAACTAAAGGAAAAGTGTCTTCCAAATAGATGATACTTATAATCGTGGGGCTCACTAGCAGCTAGCAAAACAAAGCGAAACACATACTCCTCCTCGAGTCAATACTCAATAGTAACTGCAGCCATTTACTGAGCAAAAGCAAGAATTACAACTCAATACTAACTGCAGCCATTTACTGAGCAAAAGCAACAATTACAACATGTGATTAATGACTGGAGGTGAAGCTATCAACCCAATCTCTTTTTAAGTGTAAGTACTTAATTGGTTGGTAAAAGATAAGGGTTATCTAAAAATCTGCTACAAATGAAGTTGTTGTAGATAATAGACATGGAGGCACAGTCAAACCGGTTGTTTTTCAAAATTGACCAAAATTTTATTTTTCTTGACTATTAATTAGCGTTCATATTTTATTTTTGAATGAAAAAATAGCTTTAGCTCACCACCACCACCGTCTCAAATACCTCCAACGCTTCCTCCTCATTCTCTGTCTCCTTAAACACCTAGATCAGCCGGCTCCCTCTCTCTTCACTTTGCCTTTTCTCCAAAATTAAAATTACATATAATACTCTTTTTTCTCAGGTTGTATGGTTGATTTTGCTGGTTTGGATTTATTTGGGTGCATATGTTTGCAAGTTGATTTTGCTGCTTTGAATGTATTTGGGTGTATTTCTCTGCCGGTTGTATGCTTGATTTGATTTTTTCTCTTTTTGAGTTGGTTTGTGATTAAGAGATTGGATTTTTGGTACTGTCAGTGTGATTTGGTTTGCGATGTTTGATTTCATTTTCAGTCATTCTTTCATGCTTGGTCCCGGTGGCGCTTTCTTTTCTGTTTCTTCTTCTTCTCTTTGTTCCGGTTCTCGGTTCCTACAGGGATGGAACCGGAACCGCAACCGCACAGTTTCGGTTTCAGGTTTTCGGAACCGACCCTGTGGCAGCCGGTTCCGGGTAGGAACCGGAACTGAAACCCGGGTACCCGTCGGTTCCCGTTCTCCCCTATTTTTTTGTTCACCCCTAATTCTTGACAATGAAAAAGCTGTTATTGGTCTAGTTGGAGCTGCTTTGGCCCTCACGGTGGTGGGAGTGGGACCTGCCTCAGCTGCTGAATTGCCGTTGTTGGCCTCATCTTTGCAACTGAGTGAACCATCCAATGCCTTGTCCTTGCCCACCTGGGCCGTGCATGTCTCCAGTGTTGTTGAATGGTGAGGGTTTTCTTCTCTCACAATTGTGGCTATTATAATAACTGTGTTTTATTTATTCTCATTAATGCTAAGTTTGATGAGTGAAATTTTGATAGAAAGCAGGTATCTCCTAGGCATGTTTGTGTGTGTTGTCTCTATGTTTTACTTGGAAAATGAAATGCTAACCACAACTTAGCTAAAAAGATTCATTATTATAATTTTGTTGTATTGTACAGTTGTATGAATTTTCTCTTTATACCGATAATTAACATTCAGTATATTTTGGGGTTTGACTTTTGAGTTCTTCAACCATTTCAACCGAAAAAAGAACAAGTATAATTGACTCTAAATTTTCTGTTCAAAAGGATTACCGCAATGGCTTTAGTGTGGCAATATGGAGAGAAATCTGGTTATAAAGCATGGAAAGGTCTTTCATGGGGAATGGTGAGTTCCTTTTCTCAATCTTTGCTAGTTACATTAAATTCCTTGTATGACTAACCTAAAATTTCGGAATGCGTTATTAATTGGTGTATGCTTGGTAAACATGTTTCGTAGATGAATTTTGTGTTTATTCAAAATTCTAAAGACCTATGAAATATTTTGTTCAATTACTTCGCTAAATTAGAAGCATTAGTAATCAAACTAGGACTGTTCTAGTTTGCTTTAATATGATTTTAAAGGATAAGTTTACTATTTATAATTAAGTCAATACATTGTGAAACGTAGTCACCCCTACAAATTTGGTTTATAGCCTAAACTTACACATTCTAAGTACTAAACTCCACACAACACAAGTCTAAATAGACTTGACCTAGTTATAAGGATTGTAAAACTCGTTCCAACTTCAATGAGAAAATAAATGGACCAAAGCAACTGATACACAAACCATAATAGGATGATTATGACTGCATAAGAACTGTTGCCCCTTTATGTTGCAGTCTTCTTGGAAATAGTTGGAATGATACTGATTCTAGTTTCCTTCTTACTTTAATGGGGACAGTACTTGTCTTTGAATGTCTTATATCTTTTAGGTATTAGCCTTTCAGATTGGCTTGTAGGTTCTGATTTATTTACACAATAAGTGCTGACTCATTTAGATTTACAACTTTCCATAGAGCATACTTTGTTGGTTCGCAATCTTCTAAATGACATTGTTTCTTCGTAAACTCTTCCTTCTTCTCCATTATTGTTTAGGTACCCCTGCTTGGTGGAGCATTTTGTGCATGCACATGGCATTTCTTTTATAATTCTGAGTCTCTTGAGGTGGGCTTTATCCTTTCTAAAGTTATTTATTTACTATACATTTGTTTTGAGTAATAGTATGAATTTATTGAAATGGAGAAGCTGTTGTTAACTGGTTTTAATCAAACGGTTCATTTACCTTACTTTGATGCTTTACACTGTATTCAACTATTAGTTATGGTACTAAGTTAAGTTGGACATGTTTTGTACATTGTTAGTCAAATATTTGTAATTTTCTTCCTGATTTTTGTTCCCATGGAACTGCAATGCCTGTCATTGCTGTGATGTTTCATTCTTCACCCATTACCAAGTGATTGATATTGAAGTAACTAAAGACTTAGAGGTGGAAACACTATTACCTCTTTTGCCATCTTTATATGTTAACAACCCAATAATCAGATGTGTGCCATTTTCCGATAAATGAAAAGCATAATCACAATTATGGAGAACTTGTAAGGATTAGGAGAAAACCCAAGGGAGGTTGTGAGATATTTATTAGAAAAAGAAGGACAATTATTCTACAAGTATATGTGCAACATGGGAGTTATAAAAAAACTGGCATTGTCAGGAATTAATTTGGTTACTCTCTGATAGGCTTGACTGATATAAAAAGAACAAGTGAAATTAGTTAAGCAAATTGAATAAATGCAGGAAATTACTGATTTAACACAATCATTGCTATGTATTTATCCCTGAATAAGGAGTTTAGCAGATGTTACAACTATAGAGTAAAAAATTATGTGCTCCCTGAATTTTGTTATAAAGTTACAAATGTGCTTGAGTAATGATAGGAAATGAAACTGCGTATGATGTTATAGTGTTATTCTTCTGAGATAAAATATCTCGAATGACATGCTTGTTAATCTATGATCTTTAGGTATTGGTGGCTCTTCAAGCTATGCTTACAGTGATAGGTAATGCTACAATGTGTTATGCTGCATTTCGAATATACAAATCGTCAGAGGAACGGTCGTAGAATCTGTAAAATTCCTGTATCATGATATAATCATGTGCTTGAATGCATATCCTTCTTGTTTATCAGACATATCCATAATGAAGGTAAGCAGCTCACCAGCTCTCCGATAGAATGATGAAAAGAAAAAAAAACCACTAGTTTTTTTCCTATGGATTATAGTTGTTTAGCTTTTGCAGGAAAAAAGGAAATGGGATGTTGGAAATGTCCTTGATTGATGACAGCCGATTTTCGTGGGGCTAAAATCTCAAAATTGGAGGTAATTCTTTGCAAAAAAAGTAGTGGATTGTGATCAAGTAGTTGTTGAGGAGGGATTGATGGAGTCAAATGCCATAATGTGTTAAGCAGTATCCGAATGAAGAATTATTTTTTCTCTTTTTGAATAGCTGTAACTTGTCAAGAAACAACTTTACAGTTGAATGGTGTTGATATATAACTATAAGAGACTCTTGTATATTTATGGTCTTATACAGGGTAACATGGTTCCATAATGTTTTTGGTACGTGCAAGCAGAGGGATGGACCCAGAATTTTTCTTCTATGGGATTTAACCACATAATATGATAAATTTAAGAAAAAAAAAAGTTTACAAAAATAATATATATATAAAATTAAAAGATATAATCATATTATTTTTTGCCGCATAAATTTATAATTATTTCATATATTACATAAAGGTTTTAAGTTTCAAAATTAAATTGAATATAATATAATTGTTATTATCTTTGTTTGTTTATCTATTAATCTCTTATCTAATTTCAATTTATTAATAATAAATCAATAAAATCAATAAATATAGACGTATTGGTTATGTAAAGTTTAAAATATTCACACTAAATGAAATTTCTGATTCTTAATTGAAACTTTAATTGTAGTTTTTCTCCATCTATACTATTATTAAAATATTAAATTGATTTTTAATTTTGAATTTGTCTACAGCAGAAACAAACATATCATTTGCACTGTTATGGATTCCTAATTTATAAACATCTGTACTATTCTAAACAATACAAGTTCCACCACTACAAATTATAGCATATTTAATATATAATTTTCTACCAAATAGTACTAAAAAAAAAATTAAAAAAAATAAGATGATATCTAATGATTCTACTATTGCTCCAATATTCATACATCATGATTAGGTTTTGTTGATGCAAAAAATGGCATCAACTAGAATTACACATGATTTTTTATGAATCTGCGCAAGAATCCGTTTGAGATTCGCGAATTTGATGTCGGATTGATAAAAGAACAATAACCGAACACAGTCACATAGATCAATTTTTTTTTTTTTTTTTTTTTTTAAGTGGTTTGGATGTTTATTATGCAAATCTTATATTCACTGTTATGGTATCGAGTGTTTATGAGAACAAAGAGCCAAGTTACAAATAGTTATCTCAAAGAATCCCTTAAGTTGTCTCTCCCCTCAGCCCTTTGCGAATAAATTTCTCTCTATGTGTGTGTTAGGCTTAGTGATTCTTGTGTCCTCTCCCTAAACAAGCTAGGGTTTGGGTATTGTACCCATTATAATAAGTTTGAGTTTAATACAAAATCAATGAAATAGGAAATTAACTTGATCTTCACCCCTTAATTTGCGGAGTCTAATATCTTCTTTGAGAATTATCCTTTCCTAACTTCCTACGCTAGAAGCGAAACCAAACTTTGATAGATTAGGAAAGCGATGTGATCTTTGACATTGATTTTGGAAGGATATCTTTGTGCTAAATTGGGATGTATGCTCTTCGGATTTTCTGCACAACACTAAATGACTTGACACGTGGCAGAAATCTATGCTTCACGATTTGACACACAACAAGTTTCAATATTTTTATTTCGTAATATTACTTAAATGATTATTAGAGATAAAATAGTAGGGTCGAAGGGCCATAAATGAAGAGCTCATAAGAACATTTAAGGTACGTTTGATTCAGGGAATATTGGATTACTGAAAAAATTAGATTATTGAGAATTTTTAGGAAAATGTGTTTGGTTAGTTGGAATAAATTGGTAGATATATTTTATTAATATGTGTGGTTAAGAGGAATAAATTGGTGGGTATGTTATTTAAATTACTAAATTGCCCTCTTTTTAAATATTAATATAATATTATTTGTATTAATTATTTTTTAACATTTTTTTAACCCCCAACATTTCAAAGTTAGCTAAAACATCCCCACTTATATCAAACTTTAAATTATAACAAAATCACCCCCACCACCCCAAGCCACTGCCATTAGTCGCCGTGAGTCGTCGAAAGAAGCTGGAAAATGCACCATTTAGATTGAGCAACCTTGGGCTCTTCGTCAATGGGGGAGATGAGATCAAAGACGAGATCTACGTAAAGGAGACATGATAGAGCGATAACGGAGATGTTGGAAACCAGAATAGATTTGGCCGTTAATGGCCAAATCCATGGCCCTTAATGGCCATATCTCATTCAGATGTGGCCGATAAAGGCCATGGATCAGGCCGTTAACAGCCAGATCCTCGATCTGGCCATAATTAACTAGAATAGATTTGATCATTTCTGGCCAAATCTGCTCTGATATAGCCTTTTCGGCCATCAATATGGCCAAAAAAGGCCATATCGGAGCCTTCCAATGTCTCTCGGCTATTTAAGGCGATTCCAGACGATCTCCGGTGACTTCATGTGGCAGTCGACGGTGGTTTGGTTGGCGGCAGGTGGGTGGGGGTGGTGGCTTGGGTAAGCTGAAATTTGTTTTTATTTCAAGGGTAACTTTGTCCAAAAATTTAATTAATTGGGGTGAAATGGTAAAAGCAAGATTCATGTAAATAAGATGACAACCAAATGTAGTAATCAAGTAATATAAGATAACATAACCTCAGTAATCTTATATCACCCCCAACCAAACGCCTCCTAAGAGTTTTATCTAAGAAATAAAAAAAAAATCAGTCAAAGTTGCTTAAATGAGCCCTACAAGCCCAAATATGGAATCCGAGGCCAAATACTTGGGTAAGGGTTGCACATAAGCTACAACTCCAAATGATAACCTAGTAGCCCAAATATAGGTGGTTCAAGAAATAAGAGGATAATGCTCAAAGAACTTTGATTGCCTACTTGTTTTTGGTTAATTTCAAGTTCAAATTTTATCTCTGAAGACATCCTAAATATTGTCCAATTTCGTGTTCATCATGAGTTGATCATAACTTAGGTTTCCATTTAATATTATGACATGGGGTTTACAATCTCAAACAAGGTTAAACTTAGTATTTATTTTTTTATCATTGATAATGGTCAATTATAAATCTCCCTAATAAAGTAGTGGTGCTCCTTAGGTTTTTATTTATTTATTTTTAACTTATATATCTTCTCTAGAGGCCATTAAATATCTGTTTGATTGATGCTATGATTGGACTCAGTGAGAGGGACGGGTGGGGATGTTATGATTTAAGTTTAATTGATAGGCCGAACGACTTACGCATACCCAAGGTTTGTAGAAACGATAAGTTCGTATCCAAAAAGTTTTGAAACAACAAATAGGTACCTTCCGTTATGTTCTGTTAATGATTTTCGTTTAATAATAGTAAAAAGACTAAAATACCCTTGAAAGTTTAATATTTTAGTTTTTTATAAATTTAAAAATTTCTAAAAAACCCACTAGGTTTGCTAATTTGACTAAATACCCCAATATATAAAAATTTTATAAAATAACAAAAACACCCCCACCACCCGCAGTGCCAGATTCCGGCCACCACCGCCAAAATCTGACCGAGAAATTGCGTTATGACACAAACCCATCAGATCTATGTCGTAACGCATAGATCTGGAATTTTTCGGTAAGATCCGTGGCTGATTTGGCCGGAAAAGGCCACATCTACCGCCAGATCTGGCCGTCGAGGCTGGAATCTTACCGAAAAATTGTGTTACGACACAGACCCGTTGGATCTGTGTCGTAACAGGCAGTCGAGGCCGAAAAAGGCTAGATCGATGCGTTACGACACATATCCGACGGGTCTATGTCATAACATAATTTTTCGGCCAGATTCCGACAGTGGTGGCCGGAATCTGGCACTGCGGGTGTTAGGGGGTTTTTTTGTTATTTTATAAAATTTTTATATATTGGTGTATTTAGTCAAATTAGCAACCCTAGGGGGTTTTTTAGAAATTTTTGAATTTATAAAAAATAAAATATTAAACTTTCAAGGACATTTTAGTCTTTTCACTATTATCAAATGAAAATCACTAACAGAACATGACGGAAGGTATCTATTTGTCGTTTTAAAATCTTTTAGGTATCAACTATCGTTTTGATATACCTTGAGTATGTGTAAGTCGTTTTTCAAAAAAATGTTCAAGAAAGCTCAGAGACTGACTGTCACACGCTTCTAATTCAAACTTTATATAAAAAATTATGGTAACTAAATTCATACGACGTCCTCTACATATAAATCTTTTGAGCTATGCTAGATCAGTCACTAGCGTAGTCGATACCCTCACTCGTTGACATGTGTCCAAACATCTTCCTTAATAATTGGAGTCCAAGTCGTTGTTTTCGCTAAAATTGAGGGGCTAACATTCTTTTAAACTGGAATAGCATTAATGTCACTATCTTATTAACTTTAAAAGTGTGTTTAGTTTAAGTAATATTAGATTATTAGAAATATTATATTACTGGAAAGTTAGATTACCTTGAAGATTCTTAAAACTTTTTAGGAAAATGTATTTGACTAGTTGGAATAAATTGATTATATTAATATGTTTGGTTGGGAGGAATAAATTTGTGGGTATATTATTTAAATTTTTAATTTGCTTTTTTTTTTTTAAATATTAATATAATATTATTTTTATTATTAATTTTTGAATAATTCTTTTAACATCCAACATTTCAGATTTAGCTAAAACACCCCCGTTTATATAAAACTTTTATTTATAACAAAATCAACCCCACCACCCCAAGCCACTACCCGCCACCACCATCCGTAGCCGGAAGTTGCTTGGAGTCGTCCTAAGTAGCCGAGAGACATCGAGAGGTTTCGATATGGCCGTTTTCCGAAAATATCATATCGGAGTAGATTTGGACCAGATCTATGGCCTTTGACGGTCAGATCTATTTCAACCAAAAT